CAAATGATATTCAGTTCAATATATTTCGAGTTAGCCACAAAGGAAAATAACAATGTAAGATATAGCTGTCTTAGTAGAACATGAATAAAGGTAAATGGTCCACACTCATTTTAGAGGATAAAACAAATACTTTGTGCGACTTTAAGTTTTTCCTTCAAACTTAACTTTCAAGTGATTGACATTCTAAAATCCTGTTCGTAGTAACTAAAATATATAAAATACAAAACCTAAGCACTTCAGAAAAATACAAGAAATTGGGTGGCGACTATAGTCGCTACAAAAGACCACAAATTCGCCACGAATTACCTTTAGTGGCGACTGTAAGCTGCTGCAAGTACTTCCCTAGCTAGGAATCGCCTTGACGATTATATGTTTAGCAACGACTGAAAACACCACAGCAGGGCATTTGGTCTAGTGGTATGATTCTCGCTTTGGGTGCGAGAGGTCCCGAGTTCGATTCTCGGAATGCCCCTTTTTTTTTTTTAATTTCATGTAATTTGTTTAGCTTCTAGTTAAACAGTGATTATTATTACATAATTCCACTTTTAGTCCTTGTGTTATTGAAATATGCACATTTTAACCTTCAATTATTTGAAGTATGCGATTTTGATCTTTGAAGTTAACAAAAGTTGACTATTTAACAAAACAAATATTTTAAAATATATAAATAAAATAAATCGAAGGGTTAGTGATTCTAAATGCTTGAAAAAATATGTGTATGACAAAATTTGAATTTAATAAAAAATAAATGTTAAATTTCTTAAAGACTGAAAGTTGTTAGGACACCATTGATAACCTTAAGGAGTCTGTCCACCTACTAAATCTTTCTAATGTAGTTGTATTTGACCTTGATTAGTAACCATTGACAAAATGAGGAAGAACGAGTTACTAATGAATAAAAAATAAAGCAAACAAAGAAGCAAATGATCAATTTATATATTTAAAATAATCATTCTAATTGTATATTTTTTAAAAAAAATTAAATATAATTTTTAATTTTATATACATAATTCTTCAAGCATTTAGTAACACCAACCCATATTTTCAAATATTTTTTGTTAAATAGCTAAGTTTTGGCTGCCGGTGAGATCTAGCAATTCAATCACCCATATATACTACAAGCTAAAACTGATGTTTTTACAGAAAATGTAACTTCTATTCAAAGATTTTGACATTCACGTGAAGTAAACAAAGCCAAACCTTTCAAAGAAAAAAACAATGCCAAATGAAATATATACTATTTATAGAAGAGGATAAATGAAATTCCATCCTAAGATTTATCAATCATGGGCATTTGGTCTAGTGGTATGATTCTCGCTTCGGGTGCGAGAGGTCCCGAGTTCGATTCCCGGAATGCCCCTCTTTTTCTTTTTTTTAAGTTTACTGCAAAGAATTATTCAATCTCCTTGTAGTCAACAATGTACCAGCTGGACAAGTAGTAGTATTTTGTAAAACAATCAGCATTGAAATTGATGTCCTGAAAATTGCAGCCATTTATATATTATATATATGTTTACTGAGATTCAAACTATAAATTAAAATCTGGTCATATGCAGACAATTTAATGCCACCGGGGAATCAATAGTGTACAATCCAGATGAGGTAAGGACTAAGGAGTATCAGAATTTTATATTGCAGATGAGAAATGGCAATTATGATCAAATAACTCACAACAGGAAACTCATTTTGACTAAAACTCAAAGATAGAAAATACTAACAACAGGGCATTTGGTCTAGTGGTATGATTCTCGCTTTGGGTGCGAGAGGTCCCGAGTTCGATTCTCGGAATGCCCCAACTAGTATCAACTTTTCTTAACATGCAAAATTAAGCAGGCCATAAATGGCTAACCTAGCTCAATTGACTAGACATATAAGAAAACACACTTCATAGTTTCTTTTCTGCAGTCTCGGAGTTATCATACAAATGCTATAATTTACCCTCCAACTTGTTAACAATGGAAGCAGATAATTTCAACTAGCACACAACCTAACTTTGTCATCTTGGATGACTTAATGTTAACCTTATTGCAAGATTGTCTACGGGGAACATAAACAGTGGGTACTTAGTCTAGTCGTATGATTCATCGGTGCAAGATTCTTAGTATTTTGTAAAAAGAATCAGCATTGAGATTGATGTTCTGAAAATTGCAGCAAGTTCATCAGTCATTTATAGAACTAAGATTAAAAAAAAAATAGAATTCACACTTGGTCACATGCTGACAATTTAATGCCACAGGGGAATCAATATACTGTAAATTAAAAAAAAAGACCATTTGTACAGTCCAGAACTAACTTTGTTTTGTCAATGCATGTACCAAACCTTACCTAATGCTTGACTTCAAGAGCTCTTCATTGTTTCCATTTTTGTAAGCTGATCTCCAGTCAACTACAAAACTCAATCGACTGTCTTCATAAAACAAAATTTGCAGGTAAAGATTCTTTTAATGCATGTTAATGGACAACCAAATGGCATGAGCACTTGAAGCTGAATAAGAGTAAA